TAATGTTTTGAGACTGGGAACTCTTATTTTTAAATATGCTATAGCTGTTTTTTATAGATGGATGGGTTGTTTTCGTTATTTGTGGTAGTTTATTTCATTTTGTACTTCCATGTATGTTTTTTTATATGTACAAAGTATTATAAGCCGAAAGGGTCACCTTAGATAGTCCAAATGAACTGGTGTTCGATATGTTTTTGTGTTTTAACGAAGTCCGATTTTGATTGGTTTTTTTCTTGTTTTTGGTTGCCTGGTCACTAGCAATGTGCGCGGTTTTGAAGTCGTTTTGTTGTTCCTTGAATAGTGAAGTTCTATTTACTTGTACGTTTTATCCGAAAGGTGTGGGTGTGGATTTTTAGCTTACTTTTTCTATTCTAACCCCCCCCCCCCCCCCCCCCCGCCCCCATAATTGAAGACCCCTCATATTACAAGAGAGTGTGGGTGTGGGTGTGAGTGTGGGGTGTGGGTATCGGTATCGGTGTTGGTGTAAGTTTTTGATACGCTACACACACTCCACAACCACACCCAGATATTTTTGTGGTGCGAACATGTATCGTAATACTGAAAGAGATGAAGTGATTACTCCTGGAACTGGTAACCATTCGATAGAAGTGAATACACTTCAGTTGAATGCCCTACTAGATTTTGTGTTGTGACAGTGTGAATACCCGGCGTAGCGGGATTATGACATCACTCTTCGATATATTAGTTTGAATCGCAATCAATAAGTAGATTCTAGTGTTTCCCTCAAGAGTTCCTCAAAATGCGACATTCGTCTGGAACTGCATATATTAAAGAAGTGCTTTCTTTCAGTTTCCAATTTCATCCAAATAGGACTTCTATCAGAAGGGTGTGGGTGTGGGTGTGGATGTGGGGTGGGTGTGGGTGGGTGTGGGTGTGGATGTGGGGTGGGTGCGGGTGTGAAAGAAGACTAAAACAACACCCACACACCCACCCACACCCACACACCCACCCCACACCCACACCCACACCCACCCACCCACACCCACACCCACCCACCCACACCCACACCACACCCACACCCACACCCACACCCACACCACACCCACGCCCACACCCACAGCCACACCCACACCCACACCCACACCCACACCCCACACCCACACCCACACCCACACCCTAGACTTCTGCAAAATGGTCACGGTCACGGTCACGGTCACGGTCACGGCGTCTCGTGACCGTGACCGTGACTAGCTTTCGAAAAATTATCGTGACTGGAATCGTGACCGTGACTAAATAGCTCGTGACCGTGACCAAATGGCTCGTGACCGTGACTTAACAGTGAAAAATTTTGATACTAAAAGTCTGATTTTTGTGAAAAAAAATCAAGATTTTAATTGATTTATGAGTTTTCTTTGTTTTGTTACAGGGAAAACCTACGAAATCAATTTAAATCTTGATTTTGTAGCACAAAAATCCAGCTAGTAATCCAAAATTTTCGTGACCGTGACGTGACCGTGACTAGTTTCCAAAAATTTCCGTGACTATGAACGTGACCGTGACCAGCTAGCTCGTGACCGTGACGTGATCGTGACTAGTTTCGAAAAATCTCCGTGACTATGAACGTGACCGTGACCAGGCAGCTCGTGACCGTGACGTGACGTGACTGAAAAATCGTGGTCACGCAGAAGTCTACCACACCCACACCCCACACCCACACCCACACCCACACCCACACCCACACCCACCCACACCCACACCCACACCCCACACCCACACCCACACCCACACCCT